GGGAGTCCGGTCTGACATGTGTGTGGGTTTTGATTGAGTAGGTTTGAGGTGGGAAACTAGGAATGAGATGCAATCAGGCGCATATTTATTACATGGATCTTGGCAGCAGCTCGGCAAGCGGTTATGAGGGGTGTTGTAAATGGGATCGAGTGATTTTGATAGGAAATGGAATAAAAAGGGTATCTAACTACCAGCCCTACGCTAGCTCCCTAGCTAGATTATCGAAATGAAGGATTTTCTCGCACGCTTGCTGCCTTTCGAGACAGAACCAGACCAGATTTTGACTTGGCTTGGCTGGTCACTTTCCTCTTCTCCTCTAGCATTTATTCACTGACATCCTCCCATCTAATCATCTCACCGAAATGGAAGACGCGTTGACGGTACAATCCAACACTGTACTGCCATATCTGCACCACAGCACCGTCTACTGTACTGTAATCACTCTTCCCCGTCTGGTCCTAGAAAAGAGAAATCTACGCCTCGAGGACATCCTCATCGCTACCGCTATCGGCCTTCTCGATGATCGGCACCGGCTTGGGGAGGCCCTTCTTGCGGAGGATGCTCGTCTTGAGGAAGTACGGTAGTTGGACCTTGAGTTCGTAGCCGAGGAAGGTCTTCGTTGGGACGGAGAAAACTTCTGTGGTGATGTGTGAGTAAGGCACGTTGTGGCAAGGGAGACAGAGAGGGTAAATGAAGGGTTAGGATAGTGTAGGACAGGTTGACATACGATCCAGTTCCTCGAGAGTGAGCTGTTTGGTTTCTCTCACGAAAGCGAAGATCATGAACCAGGCTATGAGATTGAGTCCTGCGTAGAAACCGAAGGCACCGGTTTGTGTCATGACGGTCCTCATGCGAGGGAATGTCAAACTGAGAACACCAGCTAGAATATCGATTAGCAGACTACACCAGAAAACGGGGCGAGGTTTCCTTACCGAATGTGTTGTTGACGCACACAGCCCAGGCCATACCTTGCTCACGCTGAATCGTTGGGAAAACTTCAGCAGAGTACTGGAATGCAACTGGTCCTTCTCCCATAGCTGTCATTCGTGTTAGCATTGTATCAATTCGAATGAAAAGCGTTGAGGGCTTTACGTACAGTATGCGATTGTGAATAGATACACGAATCTGGAACATGTCAGTAGGGGTTTCTCATTGAAAGTTTTCGGGCAAACCTACAAGACAACTGGGCCAATCCTTTGAGCCCGGGGTACGTCCGCGTCGTTGTTGAGAAGAGATAGACCAGCAGCAAGTAAGAAAACACACATGAGGGGGAATGTCTTTTCTGGGTGTTAGTCATGTCCATGGAAGCTGGCAAAAGAGGCACTTACAATCAAACAGAGCTTTCTTCGGCCCTTGGTGTCGATAAGGAATAGAGTGGGGATGGTGAAAACGACTTGAACAGCTCCGTATCCGAGAGAGGCATACAAAGCTTGAGTGTCAGTGTAGCCAGCTTCGCTGAAGATGGTCGAACTGTAGAAGGAAATGACTGGACAAAAATTAGCCTCAGGCCTGGTGACGGCTGCCATGCCACCTACTGTTGATACCGCACATCTGTTGGGCCAGCATGACGGTCGAAGCACCATAGTTTGCTCTTCTGATTCTAGGAATGCGGAAGCAGTCGGCCATACGAGCGAAGTATCCAAGTCCACCAGCAACCTTCATCTCCTCCAAGTAGATGACGTAAGAATAGTAGTAGTCTCTCGCACCAATGATGGGATGAGCACGAAGCTTAACCATCGATTCAAATCCTTGGCGGATCTTACCGTGCTTCATAAGCCATCTGGGAGACTCCGGGCAGAAGAAGATTCCACAGCCGAGGATAAAGGAAGGAATGAAAGCTGAGCCGAGTTGAAGACGCCAAGCAATGCGGCCAGTATCTTTGACAATGACATTGGCGCAGAAACCCAGGAAAATACCTTGGAATGGTGGTTAGAATGAAATCACGTATCTGGAATAAGATGACTTACCAGCGACCACCCAAAGCTGCCAAAACATTACGAGCGCGCCCCGAATTCTAGCAGGAGCCATCTCAGCGGAATAGATAGGGACTGTTGCGTTCTTCGCACCGATTCCGATGCCCATAATGAAGCGTGCAGCGAATAATTCTTGCCATGACTTGGCGAATCCAGACCAGATTGGAGTCGCTGTAAGACAGAGAGCAGTGACGAAGATTTCTCCTCGTCGACCTAGGTAGTGATTGAGAGGATCAACGATGAAAGCACCGCTGCAACGGGGTCAGCGCGTGGTCTAAGGGTCCAGGCGGAAAGGCATCTCCAACTTACATGAGACCGGCAGTCAGGAAAATGATAGCGTTGACAATTCCCACGATCCACTCGTCACTTCCCTTACCATCGATTCCGAACTCTTCATGGAAAGACAAATTGGCTCCATTAGAACCCGTTTGATCCCATCCTTGAGTTGCAGCTCCGACGGCACACAGCGAGATTGAATACCACAGCATCTTCGATCCATGCCACTTGTGATCTCTCTCGTAGATCAGAGCCGCGCGCTCATCTTCCTTGAGCTCGTTAACCATCTCGAATCTCTGGCCATCGCGTGCAACGAGCGCTGCTCGTCCGAAGAGGTCTGCGTGTTCGGGCATGCCATGCTCCTGGGCGAAAGCTTGGGCATTGGCGTATGTTGTCTCACGAGAGTAACGCTATGGAAGTGGATAGTTAGCACTGTGGAGGCCAATCGAAGGGAGATATTGGAATTGCTTGAGAAGCTTACCTTCAACGGGTTCTCGACAATGTTGAGCGCAACTGATGCGCGACGTCCACCACCACTGGCATCGTGGGTTTCTGGTGGGGAGTATGTTGGCTTCTCGCCCTCGAGATGAGAGGTGTTGACAGTGTCGCCTGCCTCTGTGGAAGAAGCCTTTTCAGACATGGTGTATGCGATTGCTGTTGTTGTCGCGATCTATCGCCAGGAAAAGCCAATTGTACTCTAGAAGTCCAGCAGATTCGTGTCCAAGTCCAACGAAGTCTTGGGGAATGGGGAGAAGCAAATCTGACAGGAGGGACGAGGCGCCAAACATATATTCTGGAGCAATTGAGGAGAAACAGCGGAGCGACAAGAGAAAATAAGGATCTAGTGCTCACTTCTCCACACCTCGCCCAACATCAGTTCTGGGCAGTCCTTGACGGTCCCAGTTCAGAATGCAGTTCATCTCCATCTCGAGTTTGATTCACGTCATTCAACATGACAATAGTGGAGCATCTCAGCAATACACACCCTGTCCCTCCGTTCAGCCAAGTCACGCCAGGGAAACGCCAGGAAGGAGACCCCGCAGCCACTGCCAGCCCCCCACGCATTAGTGCTACATCTCACTGGTTGCTTAAGGACAAGATCAACAGATCGGCGGCTCGCTAAATGCGTCGTCCCCCAGCTCATCGCAACGTTTCGATGGTGGGCCAAGGCTCTCGGGGTACGGGGTATGTACCTAACCAACGAATAGTTCTGCTGCAATTGTGAGATTGAACCCATAAATCTGACGTGAAAACAAGAAAGAGATCAGCAAGGAGGTTTTCAAGGTGGTGTGATTGATGAGATGAGCGGGCGATAGCCCTGATCTTGACAAGTGACAGTAGTTCGTTGGTCCTGGCTGATGCTTGCTTGCACCACATGAAAAAAAACTCTAGTGCCAAGTTGAAACACAGACAGCGAAACGCATCTTTTCGGATCTATCGATCGAGTAATTTCTCAAATGCCACTAATGGTCACACTTTGAATTGGCGAAAAGTGTAAGGGGAAACGCTGCAAAGTTGGTGTGAAGTTGGTTCTGACCAGATAGAGTGATGAGAGGGATGAGGCACACTGAGTGAGGTATGCCGAGACCTGCAATCAGCGCCGCCAATTGCCGCTATGCCGCCCGTCTGACCAGAGCGCCCCACAGAAACCTCCAACATCCCAGTGCTATCCACATTGCACAAACTCTTGAGTTCGTTCCCAGCACCCAATCATTGTGCTCGAGGACCCAGATAAAAGTCTTCGCGTGTCTAATTTCCGGTCCGATAGCGATACAGTACTATCCCCCCCCTAGCTTGAATGTTAAATGTGTAGAAAATTGGACCTCGTGTGGGTAGTCTTCTAGGGTGTTCATCCAGTGAAATCCTTAGATTATAGCCACAGTCAGGGGGAAGAGGCTCTCTGGAATCTTCTACAACCACCCGGGCCTTTACAACAGACCAGATTTTGTCCTGTGCTCTGAGGCTGGCAAGGCATCGACAAGGCCTTCCTACCAGTCACAGTAAGCTCTTCATGCCTCGGACCCATAAATTCCACATTTTAACATTCAAGCCAGGGGGGGGATAGTAGAGTACAGAGAGAGACAGGGTACAAATGCTGTTGCCTGAATTTTCTTGTGCTGCTTTGATTTGGCTGGTGGTTGGCCCACGGCCGAAACTTGGAGATCAAACCTTTTCTCCATGCGGAGTCTTGTAGACCGCCGGATTGCCAGGTCTGGGTTCGCCGGTATTCTCTCCGTCGTGACCTCGTTCTAGAATCGGTATCTGGGCACGAGTTTGAGGATTCGAAGAGTGGAGGGAGGCTTGAGGTGGCTCGATGCCCAGCGATTCTTCAGCGCTACCAAGGTACAAGTGTAGTTGCCTGATTTCTTGGTGCATGGTAATGCATGTGGGAAGGATGAAATGCTAAATTAGTTACATATTGTTTTGATATCAAAATCATTTCTGTTGCTTGGGTTTGCATTTGGAGCGGTGGGTTGTGAGGATCAGTCGGTTGTGGAATTCTAGAAGGCCTGGCTCACGCCTGTGGCAGCCTTAGTACAAGTGATGCCGAAAAATTCGGGCATGTATTTGCTAGAGAGGACTCTTGGATATAATAGATATGATTGTAGGTGATTAGAAGGTTTTAGTTTATAGATAGGAGGGGCTTTGTTTTTTTAAAAAAAAAAAAAAACGCTGTAGAAAGCTCAAAACGAGTTTCCCTATTTTGATAGATAATATAATACTAAATAAGCTAGTTTCTAACAAATCAAAGGCAACTTGGCTGAGTGGTTATAGCGATAGACTAGAATAACTCAGACAATCAGGCAAAAACTTGATATGTCTATTCTAGATTCATCTATTTCCTTCGGGAGCGTAGGTTCAAATCCTGCAGTTGTCGTACTTTTTGGCGCTGCCTTGTAGAATCAGAGCCCGGGAGAAACTTCGGGGACAAATTTTTGAGTCCCAGTTCTGGTGCCGCTCTTTCACCGCTATAATTTATTCTTATGCTCGTCGCCCGACACTGCGCCCCACCCTCCTCGCCTAGAGAAAAAGAATGATCGCCATGATTAGTTCCGCACTACTTGTTCATGTTTTTACGATCCTTCTTCTAAGTCCCGAAGAGCTGTATCCTATTTATGTATTCTGGATATATTTACCGGCTTGGATCCTACCCCAGGTCTGAGAACGCTCAGGTAGATGGGGTGTGGCAGGGAAGAATAAGGAAGCGTAGAAGAGGAGGTTACGAGAGTGTTCCACACAAAGCATTATATATAGTAATACGCGGCTCAAGATGATGTCGTTGTATAATATGCGCATGTACTACAGACAGAATTTCAAGATGAGTTCATCATAAGAAAGCCCGCATTGCCAGACCTGAAGCCCTCTCGTCCTGGTAGTCCCCAAAGACCAGCAACCATACGTTTCCTCATGAGCTGGTGAGGAATTGCTCTATTGACTTGACTGTGTTCGAATGCAGAGAAGGGGGTTCCCATAGATGATGCATTACTCCTAGCCAGGGGCGAATCTGAGGTTCAGTAATTCGGCGGCCCATTGCCTTGCGTTTCGGAAACAGTAAGAATGGCCGAAGTTGCGTCATATTGCAAGTGGAACCTTCAAGGGGAAGCTGAGCTATCCAAATGAACTGTACAGAGCATGGAATCCCATCGTGAAAAGTGGAAGTGGTCGTGATGGCAATGCTCTCATCTTGACCTTCTCCGAATTATTGAGACAAGCGCGTGCGCCTGACGCTCTACCGCAGGCTTTGCAGTGGAGCCTTCCCACGAACATACAAGATCAACTTGTACTGGTAGACTGACGCAGGATCAGTAAAAGTGAAGAGGTAAAGGAGCACAACCCACTCCGAAAAGATCAGGACCGCCGTTCTTACTTAAAGTTTAACAAAGTTTGAACCGCTGGGAAAGGTTGCAGAGAGAGGGCCAACGTGAAGCACGGCCAGAAGCTTCCGCTTCAGCTTCGAAATTATTGGAAGAGGGTGAAGACAGAGGGACGGCGACATGTCGTTGATGGATTGGGGGTGGGGTGTGAGGGAGCAAGTGACAAGTTGCGACTTGCAGGCTTGGCGCGCTTACCCACAATGATCACAGTTTGCCAAGGATCAAGCTCCGCAAACATCACAGCACCACCGAAGGGATTGACTGGATGTCATCATTTATTAAAGTGAGATTAAGATCACGTTTATTTAAAGTTCTATTCTATTTTATATCTACTTAATAAGCACTCTTCTACGCTTCAGGGATGGGTTGTTCTCCCGACGGCCCATCTTTATGAAGACGCCCTCATCGAGAGCCATAGTTTCGTGTCCTCTTAACTTCACCCTCTCACGATCCAAGCCGAAAGCTACTTTGACAAAGAGAGTATTACACAACTCTGCGAACTTTCGCTAGAGGTTAGCCATTGTCCCCATCGGAGTCTGTTGTGACTGTTCTATAGAACTCGATCCCAGGTGAGGTGATAGGGGGGACTCCTTAGCTACTTGCTCGGCCCCGGATGTCTCTATCAGTAGCTTTAGCGGATTTCTCAGGGCTTGAATTTACTATAGCGGTTCCGGTTGTGTAGGCCCATGCCAAACTTTAGCATTTCGCATAGCTTAGTCGGACTTTTCCATGAACTCCATGATTGCTATTCTAGGATAATATATAACGTCTAACCCCCCCCCCCCCCCTTCCGGCCACCCTTTACACCAAAAAACGCGATTTTGAGGTATTAATAAAAACACAACTAATTAATAATATTAAATACTTTTTTTATATTTACAATTCTTATACTTAAGTGATTAGATTTACGAAGCGATTTGTAATTTCCTTTGTAAATTATTACGTAATCTTAAATCCTAGTTTTTACATACAAAAAACGTCAAAAATCACTTATAAATAGCTTTTTAATAGATAAATAAAAGTACTTGAAATTTATATAATAGAAGGTTTATATATAAATCTAAAGTTTTAGAAAGTTTTAATAGAAATGTATTAGTAGTTATTTTTTAATTAAGTAATTAATTTCTCTCATATAAATATTTTATATAGGACTTGATAATTTACTTAATTATAAAATTACTATTAATAGAATTTTCTTTAAACTTAGAAATCGTAAGGTTATATATGAAATATAACTTTATTAAAAGTTTTAAAAAAAACTAATAATAATTACAAAAGTTATTAAAGAAATTTAAAAATTCGATTTTACACTAAATTTGTTAGCGAGAAATTTCTTTTACTTTAAATACTTAATTCGTAATATTACGTAATATGAAATTATTAACACTTCGGAATATTAAAGCCCAAGTAATAAATAATATAAATCTTTAATTTTAGGCTTTTTTTATTAATAAAAAATAAAGATATTAATTATTAAAAGTGACGAGTTTTTGCGTTTTTTGGTGTAAAAGGGTGGCCGGAAGGGGGGGGTGGCTGGAAGGGGGGGGTTAGACGTTAGCTTGAAAGTCACGTAGCAAGTCGGGGTTGGCGCTATCTTCTACTAGCTTAACTTCACCATCGGGTAAGTTAAAACGCGAACGTCTATAGCAGTCGAGAGTTTTAGCTTTCTGGATAAGCTCCCTTTCTCGGGTTACTAGGTCAAAGATCAATTGAGCGTTATCAAACTTCGCAGCCGGACGCAGCGCCTCAACTGTCCCTGAGGCCTCGAGAAGCAGGTCATAATGATATATAAACTTCCTGCCTTAGGCTAGCCTGTCGACTTGAGGATCGTCTCTGCCATGAAAATAGGGATAAGCATGTGTAGGCTTCCCAGTTCGGACTACCGATTCAGCTCGTACATTGGCGTCATCGAGAAAGGGACGAAGGCGTGTAGTTTTTACATGCCCATTGTCGAAACCCGGGAGGTTATGCGTGTGTGTTGACTTTCGACCTTGAGCAACTCGAGCATTGGCTCCATTGGTGAATAGATGACCATGAGTGTGTGTAGATTTTCCATCTTGAAGTACCGATTCGACTTCATCATTGGGTTGGTCGATGTGAGAAGGGCGATGATACGGGAATCTGGCTTGTTGGTCTTCGTCATGCGCTACCAGATCATTCTCAAAGAATCGCAGGATAGATGTACCTTCAAGATCTCGAACGTCAAAGGTGACCTGGCATCCGACTTGTCCGGGGCTTAACTAGCATACGATATGACTTACTAGGCCCCTCTCCGTCCCAAAGGATACGCGGAACAAGGTAAATATATAAGCCTCAATAACTAGTAACCAGAGCCTGCCTTCATCGTCGGTATTATTATCGAGTCCTGGCCAGTATTTAACGAAACCGTTAAGATCCGTCACAGCTTCAAAGACTATGTTAGGATTGCTCACGGCGACGAGCAGGACTCTGAGACCTAGCAATAGTTGTTTAGTGAATTAAACAAGGAGCTCACAGCTGATACGAGGCATGGTAAGAAAGAAGATATGTTGATAGCTTGAAGTAAGTGGAAACAGAATTTATGTTTGGAGAAACAGTTTTGGAGGGAGACTGGATGTGCTGAAGTGCTCTTTCAGTGGAAATTGAAGCTGCTTTTATGTATCTCTCGTTTGGAGCAATAAACACAACGACGGCTACTCATCAGCCTCAACCAAAGAATGAGCCTGCTGGTGATGAAGATGGGGGCGTGATGGTAACGAATAGGGTTTCCGGGCCAAGGAGACAGGGGATTGACAGGGGATAAACAGGGATCGCCAAGGGTTGAGCAGGGTCAATTCCACATCAAAAATTCAACTTGATTTACGTAGAGATCGCGCTGGCGATCGATCAGAAACAAGTCTAGGGAAATTCTGTGTTCGTATTTCTAGCCAACACCTTGATCCACCTCTGACTCCAAGGAGATCCGACACAGAGAGCCCTAGCTGGATTCCAGTCTGAAGTGAGGCAGAACGATGATCTCGTTATCTCCAGCGCGAGCGAGTAATTCAATGAAAACAAGTAAAGAGAAAATGTTTCTAAGGACTATGACATGATAATACGAGAAACCGTAGGGGTTTTACTTAATTTATGCTCCACCCAGACTGTAAACAGATGGAGATTTATCCCTCTCACAGGCAAGACACCGACTCTCACAGGCAAGACACCGACTCTCACAGGTAAGACATCGACCAGAAAGGGCGGGGTTTGGAGTTGCAATTGTAAGTAACGGAGGTCTTCGAGTCAATAATGCAAATAGCATCGAAGAGTCTCCACCTGGCTTCGCATCTGCCGATAGGGAGTAGCGGATAGTATCTCGTATAGTCGATCGACGCTCGTATCTGAAAAATTGACAATAACGCTGAATCTCACAGCTATTATCGAGGATCATAATATTAGCATCGGGGATAGATAATATACAGAATATATTAGTTGTGTTAAACACTCTCGTTAAAGTTTTTATTCTCACTATATAATAGAGAACCTTAGTGCCTTATCTATACTTGGGATACAATCGAAAATGTAGACTAGGCTCTAGATTTAGTCCAAGTAAAGCCGAGACTCGACATATCGTAGAATTAATACTTGCTCTAGATTATAGATATATAGGTACTTAAGGTAAAGAGCGCACATAACAAACACTACATAAAGTGCTTCTTCCTCACCCCTCACTAGAGCCGCTTCCTTCCACTTTTACTTTAACCTAACAACTGCCGTCCAGCGGCAATTGAAGCATACTATTACTGTGTTCACATAGAATGAGTTTCAATACATTTTAAAGTATGGTTCGAGGGACGAGAAGCACACAATGAAGAGGATATGCGGAGGTTAAAAAATCGCTTTTGCTAATCATAGCTAAGAATAGCTAACGCTTATACCAATTAATGAAGTGATCAACCATTCCAACCACAATACCCAGCGCCGTCAGGCAAACCATCCAGCGTTTCCATCCCCGACTTGAAAGTGTTAGTTACTATTCCAAGGTAAC